CTGGGATTAAAGGCATGTGCCACCATGCCCAGCTGGATATGAACTTCTTAAAGAAAAATTTGACAGTATCTCTCAAATGTTAAGTTATACATATTCTTTAGACACCTGAATATCTTCAATTAAATATAATTCTTATAAGCATTACAATGAACCTTTTAATTCAGCCATTTCACTTCCATGAATTTATCCTAAAATATTCTCACAAAAGTATATCGAGACATATGGACAAAGATACTCATAAGCACAGCATATAAGTAAACAAGAATATTGGAGACTACAAACATGTCCATCAGTTCTGCCACATCCACAAAACAAGATGTGATGGAGCTACTGGAGAAAAGGTCAGTTCACATGAGTTAACCAAGTACATCTGTCCTAAGCAGGGGGCACACAGGTCCAGATTAATATGTGTAGTATTATGCCCATTCTCTTGACCTAAATTGTGGTCTTGTAAATTAACAAAAAGAAGAGAATGCATGGGGATTGCACAAACAACCAGCAGTATCTGTGCCAGACTACTTGATTCTTTTTATTTTATATGTATGACTGTAAGTCCACCCATGTCTTACAATGCCCGAGGAGATCAAAAGAGGGTGTCAACTCCCCTGGAGCTGGAGTTACAGATGGTTGTTAGCTGCCATGTGGGTGCTGGGAATCAAACCCGGGTCCTCTGGAAGAACAGTCAGTGCTCTCAACCACTGAGCCATTTCTCCAGCCTTGACTGCTTGAGTCTTAAAAAACTATGATTCCTTTGCAAGCCCATATTGGGAAGAATAGGAATTGCAAAAACCAGTTTAAGAGCAAGTTAATCCAGCTGGGCGTGGTGGTACACGCCTTTAATCCCAGCACTCAGGAGGCAGAGACAGGCAGATCTCTGTGAGTTCAAGGCCAGCCTGGTCTACATAGTGAGTTCCAGAACAACTGGCGTTACAGGGGAGACCCTGTCTCAAAAAGAAAAAAAAAAAAAAAAAAGTTAATCCTACAAATTCCAGTGGAAACATAATTTATGAGCTCTAACCATGGGCAAAGGCTTACCTAGCCAGAGGAAATTTCAGAGTAGATTTTATTCCTTAATCTTCCTTCACACACACACACACACACAGAGAGAGAGAGAGAGAGAGAGAGAGAGAGACAGTTTTTATAAATAAATTTTTAAATAAGAAAAATGAAAGGCAAAGAAATGGGAGGAGGTGCCAGATAAACACCAGTTTTACAAAAACAACCATTTTACACACAGGAATTTAAAATCACTTCTCATTCTCTGAAGTTAGTGATCAAACTGGTAACAGGTTACTGGCTGAGTCCCAGGCAGCAACAATATCGTTAAAAGGAGTAATTAAGCATGTAAAAAACAGAAGCAGAGGTTAAGAGTCCTATTCACTTTCGAAATTTCTGCCATCTCAATTATTGGTCATTTTTCATTAACAGCTTGGATACCCTCAGAATTTCCACCACACAATACCATGTCACTTAAGATTCAATATCCAAACAAGAATCAGAAAATCACGCTTTTGAATCTCTGGACTAACGTTCCCATGAGTCAATGATCCATAAATAAATACTATTTTTAAATCTTCATTACAAAGCGCATAGTTTCTCTTCAGGGAAAGCTGACTGACAGCTTCTCTTCTTAAATCTTAATCCTTTCTATTCCGAAGACAAAACAGAAGCATGCAACCCAAGTTCATAGGGGATAGAGAAGAGAGTTCCCACTTGCTCATAGAGTTCTTCTAAATATCACTCAAAATTGAAACCTATGATTCAAAAGGGTTTCTTTTTCCTTTAATAGACACAAAATATATTCTTCCAGGCGTGGTGGCACATGCCTTTAGTCCCAGCACTTGGGAGGCAGAGGCAGGTGGATCTCTGTGAGTCCCAGGTCAGCTGGGGCTACAGGGAGACCTTGTCTCAAAAAGACCAAAAAGGAAATGCTTTTAAGAATTCATGACTCTGTACCTCGTCTCCCACCAAACAACACTGGTACCCTACCTCCCGCCACACTGTTCTCTGGACAAGCCACCATCTCTGGTGATTCATTTTATCAGCCACATAGTCTAGCTTTTTCCTTTAATGTCTTCTGTTCCTACAATCATAATTCCTGAATTCAGCAACAATTAGAAAATTAAAACTTGGGACTAGAGAGATGGTTCAGCAGTTAAGAGCACTGCAGAGGACCCGGGTTCAATTCCTAGCCACATGGCGGCTACAAACTGTCCTTAACTCCAGTTCCAGGGGAAACCGAAGGCCTCTTCTGACCTCTGCTGCATTGCACAACACAGGTGCACTCACATACATGCAGGCAATAAACTCATACACAAAAAGAAAAAAAGAAAAAAAAAGAAAATTAAAACTCATCTTCCCTGTTCCCACCAAGTGATGCCTTATTCCATGTTCTAAGTAGAAAA